TGAGTTTGTCGCTTGCGTGTGGGCAACTTGCTTCGACAACAATGAAATGCGATTTCATGTGTGATTCGCTTGTAAAAAACGCTGCTCGGGGCCCAATTCGGATGGTGACGGCACATGTGGCAGCGGGGGTGGGGGCATTTAGGCGGCTCCAGGGCATGCAGGTCGGCCTGGGCGTGTACCGTACCTACCGCATTCGCGTGGTGAAATTTACCTATGTGCCGGGTCCTACCTGCCTATCAAAAACCCTTTCCCAGTACTCGATGATGAAACCCCCTTCAGCGAGCAGGATGAGGGCTTGGGCCCAGAAGTGCCTCAGAAGTGCCATCTAGACGGCGTCGCCCCTGGACATGTGCCCAATTCCGAAAATACAACTAGAGACCCGGGCGAGGTGATGGAAAAGACGAAACCCTCGCCACCCATGCATCTCAGGCGTTCCTTCGAGGTCCGGTTGGTACGAGAACGGGGCGAGCCACATGTCGATTTCCATTTTTACGACCATAACGATGGTTATGCAATCGTCTGGGAGCTGCTACTGGGGAAGAAGGGCGACAGAAGGGTGGGAGCTGGGCGTCTACTGGACCACGAATGGATAGACCTCGAGCTCCTCCGAAGTTGGAAACAGAAATGCCTCGCCACACACGGAGATGAAAGCAGCAACCCCTTTAGAATCCCCCAGGTACTCCCGGCCTGGTTGATTGACACGGTCGAGAAGCGGCTCGTGCCCGGCACGACGGCCGGAACCCCTGCGGCGGCGCCGCCCGGCGGTGGTCAGAGGACGTCGTGAGCCCTGTTTCTGGCTCCTCCAACTCCAGAATTGCCGACGACGCATTCGCAGGCCTGCTTCTTGGTCACCTAAACATCAACTGGCTGGATAGGGTATTAAGAGAGTACGGGTGTGTACAATGTGCCACTCGGATACGCAAAGCCCTTCCGCACTTACTAGTGAAACAAAAAAAACAGATCAAGGAATCTCACATACCCGGAGGATGCACTTCCTGGCATTTTGGGGCTCCTACCCCTCTTCTGGCGGTCCTTCCCCGGCGGCTTTCTGTACGGCCTCCCCGAGATTAACTTTGAAGCCGCGCTTAGGTTTCGTCGAGCACGCCAAGCCGCGTAAGAGCTCCGGAAATCCCAAGACACATCTTTTTGGCCTGGCCTCTACCCTGCCGACGTGGTCGTGGCTGAGCCTGCAGGGCTTTGGCATGAGGCTTGTCCGCGGCGAGACATACGGGCTGGAAACGCGGGTATCAGGCAATCCCTATAACCCAGTGGTACACTCACTGGACCCCTTGCCACATGAACCGACGGCCGATACGACCCCGGTGGCACACAGTGACGGAGCGCGCAGGGGCCGAGTATTATATGTGGAGGCGCGAGGGCTGGGAGAGGAAGGAGTTCGACGCAGCAAAGCACATGCTGCAAGACGAGTGCGAGTACAACGAGGCGGGTATGATGCCTATAATCCCGCCCGAAGGACTGGGAAAGCACATCTACAAACACCCGGGCCTCCCCGGGAAAGAGTACTGGGCCCCGCTGCCTTTGGGCTCCGAGGAGACATGCCAGCTTTCCAGCAGCCCGCCCCAGACACCCTACATATTATGCGTGACGAAGAAGGGCTGGTTCGCGGTCGAGCGGGTCCCGGACGTGAGCTCCGCGGATGAGAAGATAGTGGTTGATGGGCGCCACGTCGGACGCCTCAAGGTCCAGTGCGAATCCGACAAGGAGCTCCTCCCCATGGCCGGCGACGAGGACGCCGAGAAGGTCGAGATAGAGCTCGTCGCCATCTGCCGCAAGCAGAAACCCGTCACCAAAGGTCCGGAAGAGACTGGCGACGCTGCGCAACCCACCGTCACCTATTCGGAATCCTATGGTGTGCTCTGGGTCGAATGGAGAGGTGGCGTTGTCGCTTATCGTCGGGGGTCGGGATATATTTTAAGGGATTGGTGGGAAAAGCATCAACTCGAAGATGTTCACTTGATACTGGGCCGATACTAGGGCATAACAGGTTGGCGTGGGTAAAGCTATATAGTAATCAAAGCTCTTTATCTATTAACGTAGTCAATCCGAGATACAGAAGACTCCTCCTCTCTTCTCAGTGCGCTTCTCACAATCCCTACGGAGCCGAAAAGGCCGACTACAAGTACTCACTCAAGACCTGCACCCTCGTCTTGGCCACTTCCGACCCGTTATCACCCTCGCCCATGAAGCGCATGATCTCGATCATCCGGTCTAGACAGAGGATGTGCGTTGCATGGTCAGTGCGGATGTTCTAGTACCGGACACCTAAAAAAAAAAGAAG